TATATATATATATATATATATATATATATATATATATATATAAAATACCTAAATAACTTCCCAGGTAAACCTACTTAATCCTTTTTTTCTTTAAAACTGAAATGGCAGTAATGGTATATTTACCTGGACAAATTGGAGCCTCTGCACTTTAACAATTAATAGCAGTCATTTCAACACGTTGTGTTAAAGGGACACTGCCAACTTGAATGTTAATAAAATTAAGTTGTTTGTCTTTCAAATTCATTTTTATAGAGTACATTTTAAAGTAGCATTGCCTTTTGTTGTTTTATTAAAATTCGTAAGGTTTTATGCTTCTCTGTTCATTGAGGTTAATAAGGGCCTTTTCAGCAAAGTAGAAACTTTGGAAAACAGTGAAATTGTGCATTTGACCATTTTTTGTATATAGACAAAGTAAACTAATAAGACAGAGGAATATTTTTTCACTAACATTTCATTTATAGTCACTGTAGTTGTTGTAAGTAACTATTATGGAAAAAAAATCCTCAAGACAGATGATTTTCAAGTTGACTGTGTCTCTTTAAATCTATGGGGCCTAATGCTCCTCTCACACTGTGTTAACTGAGGAGTAATTGGAGGAGATGGAGCTACACTGATGTAAAACGGTTGTAAGGGGAGAATTAGGATAATGGGTTATTATGGGCAAAATAAAGTGTTCCCTTTTTTATAATTTGAACATCTCTCACTTAGGCTTGAATTGTTGCATTTAACCAGTGACCCACACTGAGGTCTGTATGGAGCTGCTACACTCTAATGCAGTTTCCCAAACTTGGGACGCCACTCGTCTAGGGAAAGCCCCTGGCGGGCCGGGCCGGTTTGTTTACCTGCCACGTCCGCAGGTCCGGCCAATCGCGGCTCCCACTGGGCGCAGTTCGCCACTCCGGGCCAATGGGAGCTGCTGGAAGCGGCACGGGATGAGGGAGGTACTGGTTGCCGCTTCCAGACGAACCTGCGGACGCGACGGGTAAACAAACCGGCCCTGCCTGCCAGGGGCTTTCCCTACACAAGCAGCGTCCCAAGTTTGGGAAACACTGCTCTAATGGATTGTGCCTCTGATGGCACAGTCTGCTCCCTAGAGTACCTGCCCTGCTCTGCTAGCTGATAGAGATGGGACAATGCTTCACCTTCTCTACACTGCTTCACAGTGATGTGCCCATGGAGACTTCGGGAGAAGCCCCTGTTCTTTCATGAATGCAAAGGCTGGAGTTATGAGAGGGATTTGTCAAAGAGCATGGAGGAGTATGGTGTACGTCCTTCATTCCCTCCTGTATGCCTCCCCCCCGCCCCCGCCCCAAGGGTCATTCACCATCCAGGATTCAATCCAGAGCCCCTTACAGTCAATGCAAGGAGCTTTGGATTGAGACCCTAATCTTTAAAATGAGCCAGAAAAATCTCCCTGCTAAAAACAGTCAAATATCTCTCTCATTTCTTATTAGTTTGCATTTTCTGGAATCATTGTTTACTTTATTGGAATAACTAGCCTGATGTGACATTTCCATTCTGATCTTTGTATTTGTGGATTTAGTTTTAAAGCAGATGTTTTACTAACAAA